TGGAACTGAGACTTTTTCCGGAGGGCAATGGCAGACCATGAAAAATCACTGTGCATCAATGTCAGATAAAGAATTTTTCAGTTGGAAGGCAGTTGATAGTGAGAGGTGATAAAACGGGTGTAGCAGTGGGGATGGATAAGAGGGAAAAGATTCAGGAGTTACTGAAGAGATAATGAATCAAAACTGGATGAATACCAACTGTAGATACATAAGGTATTTCAACTGTAACTTCCTTGTCTCTTAATAGGCAGTACAATAACACTCATACATGGCTAGCAGGAGTATATAATTAAATTGGTACAACCTTTCTAGAAGTTCATTATGCAATACAAAGCAAAAGCCTTAAAAATGAACATAGATTTTTTTTAAATTTAGGGATTGCACTTTGCATAACTGAGCCTAAGGGAGTACTGAGAATGTTTTTTATACTCACAATAATTTAAAACATTTGCCCACACAAAAATTTGCACACGAATGTTCACAGCAGTGGAAACAACCCAAATGTCCCATCAATTAATGAATGGATAGACACAATGTGATATATCCATATAATGGAGTATTTATTCAGCCATAAAAGGTATGAAGTATCGATACATGCTACATCAATGAACCTTAAAAATGTGCTAAGTCAAAGAAGCCAGACATAAAAGGATTCCTTTTAATGATGATTCTATTTATATGAAATGTCCAGAATATACACAAAAATCCAGAAACGAAAAGCAAATTCTTGGTTGCCAGGGGCTCTCGGATCGGATGAAAGGGGGGATGGGGAATGACTATTAATGGGTTCTGGTTTCTTTTCTTTAAATAAAAAAAAGATTTGATTGTACATACCATAAAATGTACCATTTTAACCATTTTTAAATGTATGGTTCAGTGGCATTAATTTCATTCACATTTTTGTGCAATCATCACTACCATCTATCTCCAGAACTTATTCTTTGCAAACTGAAACTCTGTATTCGTCACACTAATTCCCTATTCTCCCCTTCCCTGAGCCCCTAGCCACCCCATTCCATGAATTTGGCTGCTTTAGGTACCTCAAAAAAGTGGAATCATACAGTATTTGTCCTTTGTGTCTGGCTTATTTCACTTAGCATAATGTCTTCAGGTTTCCATGCGGTAGCATGTATCAGAATTTCCTTCCTTTTTAAGAATAATATTCCATTTGTGCCACATATTGTTTATCCATTCATCTGCTAATAGACACTTGAGTTGCTTCACATCTTTTATTTTAGCCATTGTGTGAATTATGCAGAATCTCCTTACGATTTTAATTTGTGTTTCACTAATAACTAATGATGTTGAATAGCTCTTTAAGTGCTTATTTGCCATCCCTGTGTCTTCTTTTTCAAACGTTTTGCACATTTTGAAATTGGGTTATTTCTTTTGAGAGTTCTTTTCATATTCTGAAGTTCTTTATCAGCTTTATTCTTTGCCAAGATTTTTCTCCACTTGTGACCTGTCTTTTCATGCCCTCAATTGTGACTTAAAGAGCAGAATGTTTAATTTTGATGAAATCCAACTTATCAATTTGTTCTTCTATGAATCATGCTTCTGGTGCCACATCGAAGAAATCTTTACTTAACCAATGTCAGAAAACTTTTTTCCTATGTTTTCTTCTAGAATTTTTATTGTCTTAGGTTTTATATTTAGGCATATACTTTACTCTCATACACTACTGGTGGGGATGTAAAATGGTACAATTACTTTAGAAAAGTCTGGCAGTTTCCTAAAAAGCTAAACATACATCTACCATATGATCCAGCCATTCCACTCCTAGGTATTTACTCAAAGAAAAAAGAAAGACTATGTCTATGTAAAGACTTGTACACAAATGTTTATAGCAGTGTTATTTGTAATATACCCAAACTGAAGACAACTCAAATGTGCACTAACAGGTAAACAGATTTAAAAAAATGATTAAAAAACAAATTTTTATCATTATAATGGACTAGTATGCAGTAATAAAACCATAACGTTTTCATTTACACCAAATGAATCTTAAAATAATTATGCTGAGTGAAAGAAACCAAATATATACCGAATTACTCCATTTATATATCTCTCTAAAAAAAAAGGCAAACTCACCTAGAGAGACAGAAAGCAGATTAGTGGTTGCCTAGCTGTGATGGGGAGGGCCTACCAAAGGTCATGAGGAAGCTTCTGGGAGTAAGGGAGTCTCTGCTATGCTGACTGTGGTGATGGTTTCATGAGTGTATACATGACAAAACTTTTCAAATTTTATTTATTATTATGTGCAATTTTATGTAAATTATGTATCAATAAAGCTGTTTTAAAAACGACAACCAGAGGTTAAACTGTACACAATGCACAAATTTCAGGTCACATGTGGCACTTTGGTACCAAGATGCCAAAGAGTTAATAACTTATAATCAATCTTATTTGACTTCCATGTTGTAAAGCAATAATCTCAGGACTTACCTTCTCTTACAAATACTCTTGTCAAATACTTTACATCTATTAGATCAGATTCTGAACTAATATATAGCAACCTGTGAGGTTTAGCATCATAGCCATATATGTGGAGACTCTCAATCTACTATCCAAAGAAGAAATATTCCCACAAATTGCAATTAGTATCTACTATGTACCCAGTTCTGAATTACTCTATCTTTAAACTTTCCATTGAAATTATTTCCTAGAGCACTGCTCCTTCATTCACCAAACCATATCCCCATGGATCTTATTCTTTAAACTCCCTTCATTTCAATTCCTATTAAATCTCTGATGTTAATTCAGTGTGACTTTTGAAAGTCTCTTCATCCGTAATATAAAGTGGTGGGACTAGGTAGCCTCTAGAATTTAGGGCCCTATCTTTTATTTGGCATATAGTTTCATGTGCTGCGCCCTAGGGGGGATGCAGAGATGAACAAAATATGGCCCCTCCTTTAAAGAACTTACAAAATAGAAATAAAAACATACAGAACTATAACATAAGGCAATAGTGACAAGTGCCATTAACAGCAATAACTATAATGTCCTTCAGGAGATCTGAGGACCAGTAACTTGCAACTGGAGCGACCCGAAAGACTTCCTGGAAGGGATACCACTTCACTAGAGCCTTAAAGGATGGAGAGAATTTGGAGAGAGGGAAGGCATTTCAGTTAGGAGTGGCACAAATAAAGTTAGGAAAGTGCCAAGTCATGCTGCTCAAGGGAACATAAGTGGTGACACATGGCAGCTTAAGATGAAATGTTCTAGAGAAGTGGAGGAAAAAGATAAGGCTGGAAAAGTAGGATGGAAATGTACTGTATGGGTCCAAATGCCAGAATGAGAAGTCACGATTTTACACTGCAGACAGTGGGAAACCATGGAAAAAATCTGAGCCAAATAACCTGAGAAGCTCACTGTGGTTGCAGTGTGGGAAGGACAAGCTAGGAGAGGAAGCTCTGAGGTAATGAGACGTCAGATCAAAGCAACAGACGTAACAAGAGGGAAAACTGGGGGCCTGAGTTAAATTGGACAAGAGAGATTTCATAGGCAGACCTGAAAAATGTTAAGTAAAGGATTTAATGGAGAACACATGTAAAAGGGAAGAATCTTACAAGGTCAGAGCCAAGAAAGTGCCTTGAAACCATCCAGTGATTCATTCTTTTCAAGTAGAAAAGTGATTATTAAATTTCCAGATTACAAACATTTTTAACTCTTAAAGTATCAAGTGCATAAAATGAAAAGTTGCCATCCTACCATTCGAAGTCCCACTTCTGTATTTAATAGTTTCTGCTGTACCTTTCAGGTAGTTCCAATGTTATGCACGCGCCTGTGTGCATGTGCATGTGTGTATTGCAATGTGTGTGTGTGTGGGGGGGCTGTAATCCTTTTAAAAAATTACACATAATGGCATCATAAACTGCAATTCTTTTTCATTCAACAGCATACATTACAGATCTTTCCGTGTCCACATATACAGATCTAACTTAATTTTTCCATAGTTGCAGTGTTACATAGTAACGAGACATAACTTACTCAGAATCCACCTTTAATGGTATTTAGGTTGATTCTAGTTTTTTGCTGCCACTTTCTGTTATGAATATTCATATATATATGCTACAGGTTGTGTCCGAGTATATCTGCGTGTTAAATTCCTGTAACAGGAATTACTGCATCAAAAGGTGTGCGAATCTATAACGTTGACGGATCTTGCCCAGTTACCAGGATAGGGCCTCTTCCTGAGAGGAGGAAAAACGTCAAGAACCAGGACACGTGCCTGCGGAGTCCTCCGTGTGGATGGGCAGCCTTGCTTTCCCCCAAATCTTCGTGAAGGCTGAAGGCAAGGAGGCCAGTCGAGGGCCAGGGGCACACCTCAGAGGCTGGACTCGAACCCCGTCTCTTGCCTGTTGGCCCAGGTCCTTCCCTCTCGTAAATTTCGGCTGTTTTTTGCCTGCACTGCGACTGGGAAAAGCCCTCCCCTCATCCCACCCACCCCGTACTTGGAGGGGTCCCTCCCCGGCTCCAGCTGCAGGGTCCTCTCACCTGTGGTTCTCGTCAAGCAGGGAGAAAAGAGGGCCAAGGCGCAGCTCCGCCGCCTGCTCGCGGAGCTCGCTGAGCGGCACCGCCTGCAGCACCGACTGCAGGGCGCGCAGCTCCTCCAGCGGCGCCTCCAGCCGAGACACCTCCCTCAGCAGCGCGAGCGCCTGAGCCGCCATCACGCCCCTCCCGCAGCGGCTCGCGCGTGCGCCCGTCCGGCTCCCCGCTCCCGGCGCGCTTCTCCAAGCCTCGCGAGATCTGCCAGGTGCAGCCTCCCTGCCCCGCTTTCGGCCGCGATCACTAGCCTTCCGGACCGCACCGATGGTGATATGTATCAAATGCAACAGACCTAACAAGAGGGATGAGACGTCAGATCAAAGCAACAGGCCTAACAAGAGGGAAAACTGGGGGCCTGAGTTAAATTGGACAAGAGAGATTTCATAGGCAGACCTGAAAAATGTTAAGTAAAGGCGGGCTGGGCGCGCTCGGGGACCGCAACTCCTCGCTAGATGCTGGCCGACAGGGCTAAGCCAGCAGTCGCAACCGGCGGCGGGGTCGCAGTGGGGCATCGTCCTGAGCGCCGCTCGGTTGGGCACGCAGTCCGCCTTTCCGGTTGGGCTGCGCATTTCCCATAGGAGCTAGACCTCAAGTGTGCCCGGCTATGGGGTGGTGAGCTTGAGGATCAGCCGAAGGTTAAACGGCCTCCTAGCGCTAAAACCGGGCCTCAGCGGCGGCGAGAGCAGCAGCGGTGGAGGCTACTGGCGTTTGGGCAGCCGCTTAGACCACCCCGGGCGGAGCGGAGGCGATGGGCATCCGGCCCCCGGGCCGCACACGTATCAAGAGGAGGTGGAGAGTCATGTCTTTGGAAACAAATTTTTGAGAAGTTGGGAGAAGGCGTGAGTTTGGCGTCAGTGAGCCCACCGTGCGCACCATAAAGAAAAACGAGAAGGCCATCAGGGCCAGCGTGGAGTGTTCGCCCGTCTTCTCCAAGGTGCTGTGCATCCCGTGTGATGTAAACATGGAGAAGATGGAAACTGAGTTAACCTTCTGGGTCGAGGACCAGACCGTGGCGGGGTTAAGGGGCGGCCTGTGACTCTGAAGGCCTTTTGCAACCACGCCAAATGCATTTACAAGCACAGTTGTAATGGGCAGTTGTAATGGGAAACCACTGGGCAGGACAATCCAGATAAGGCTGCGAGCAAGGGATGTTTGAGTTTAGAAATCGCTACAGTCCGCGAAATTCGAGGTTGATCGGGAAGGAAGAACCGTTATGCCCAGTCATCGCCCAGCCATTCCAAGCAACTCCACAAACTGATCAGAGATAGAGGCTTTGTGCTTCAGCAGGCCTTAAGACACTGAGGAGAGGAGTCTGTTTTGGAGTGCATACCTTCACATGCTTTTAGGGAAAGTCACAAAAATCTGGAAAGCTTAAAGGACACTGAGGACAGGATTTCCCTCATTTTTGTGCTATTGCTGCTGGTGACAAAATGATAAAATCATTGCTGCTTTACAAAGACATGAATCCCAGTTGCCTTTTGGAAAAAGATAAAAAATGTCCTCCTGTTTTTTGGTAATCACACCCTAGAGTATCATCAACCACTGCCCTCTTTTTAGATTGGTTTCATAATTGTTTTATCCATAAAGCCAGGAGTTTAACAAAAAAAAATCTTGAATTCAGAGTGCTGCTAGTTTTCGACAGAGGTTCTGATCACCCAGACTCATTATTCTTTGCTCATCCTAATGTTGACTGTGTTTCTCCCCTGGGAAGGTTCTAGGTACCTTCAGCCCTTGGATCAGGGAATAATTGAAGCATTCAGGAGGTATTAAACGGAGCATGCATTTGACCACTTTGCTTACTCTATTGAAAAAAACTTTTGCCTTAACTTTGAAAGAAACGTGGTCACAATACAACATTGGCCTTGCTTTAGTGACAAAAGAGGCATGGATGATGTAAAACCAGGCACTCTTACTTAATAAAGCCTGGTGGAAACTTTGGGATGATGTGAATGATTATACATGTTTCCCTAGAGCTAATGAAGAGGTTGAAAAAACCATAGTCTGCAAAACGGATGGGCTTTAAATTCAGTGATATTCATGAAGGTGAAATTAATGAGCTACTCAGGTTTCAGGCTTTGGCCATAACTGAGAGTCTCTATGGAGTCTGAGGGAGAAGACAAGTCCTCCAAACCAGAGGTAAGGATGAATCTAAGGAAATTGAATGCTGTCTTACACCAGGCTTCAGACCTCCTTGATGCTGGATCCTTTTGATGTGGATCCTTTCCAGGACTAAAGTTTGGCCTTTAGAAAAGATTTCAATAAGTTGTTGTAAACCTATAAAGAGGTGCAAATGAAACTTTGAAATAAAGCAAAGGAGTTGAAGAAAAAGAAAGAAAACACAAGAGGAAGTAGTATTGGTTAAGGGGTTGGATCAGAATCAGGAGTCAGTCTGAATCTGAATCCAGGTGAGAAGGTAGAGAGAAAGAATAACAAGCCTCTAGAAGAGGCTGGACCCTCAGGCAGTGGCACTGAGACTTATTATATCTGAAGAATATGCCAAAACCATAAATGCAGAATTGGACTTTTGGAATCTAATCCTGGAATTGAATCTGGAGAGAGTAGAGGTGCCTGAGTTGAATGAAGAAGAGAATCCAGCGGCAGTTGCTGACAAATAATCATCTCTTTAAAAAAAATCATCTCTTGCCATATGTCCCTGTTGCCCCAACATCACTTTCAACCTGACCACCCTTGAAATCACCAGCCATGTGTCTGTCAGTCATTCAACAAACACTGAGCATAAGCTGTGTGGGATCCTGTGCTAAGCCTGGGGACATCTCAGGAAATCATCTAAGTATCTAAGGTAAATAGTCATTAACATTGGCCTTTCTTATTAATACAGTAGGCATAAAAGAAGTATGATACCTTTATAGTAGCTGTAAAGTTTTGACTGTGATCTATTGACTTACTTTAGTGGACTCTGAATATAAAGGTTTTCTTATGACCACTTATCCTCATTTTCTCTAACCCTATTTTTTTCCCACAGCTATAAAGTTTTTCAGTCAAAAGTGGAGATTTTCTGAGTTAATCTTGGTAGTTAGCATGAGACTACATGCCCTTCAAATGCTGAACATGGTCATACAGTGTATAAAGCACTCAACACTGATCTGTCTTATTCCTCACATTAGACCTATGAGGGAGATAATGGCTCTTCCTTTACCCAAAAGCCACACAAAGCATAGAGAGTTAAGTAACTTGCCAGCACAGCCTACAATGTAAATGACAGGACTAGAGCTTCAAGTGAGTTAGTAACTACTTTGTCAGACCAGTATCAGGGCTTTAAGAATTTATAGCCCCAAGGAATGAGACAGAAGGTAAACAGGCCATTAAACAAGGAGGCTGTGAACTGTCAGCCTGCTGGCCAGATTTGGCTAACAGATGTGTTTTGTTTGGTCTGTCCAGTTCAAAACAATTTCCAGTTGGTTTCCCCACCCCTTTGTTTAAAGTGCTGTTTACATACACTCCACCAGTTTAAATGTGTAGGCTGAATTTTTTAACACTTGTGTAACCACTACTGCAACCAAGCTGTAGAACTGTTCCTTTAAGTGGTGCCCTTCTGCACTCAATCTGTTCCCTCACTCCAGAAATGTCTTCATTTAAAAATTGAAATATTTCCCATTATAGATGCTGGATGAAAAAATTGGAAACTCTGGCAGCAGTGGACTCTGCGCTCCCACAGCTGATGTTAAATGTTGCAATTCAAGTGTGTGCAAAGTGCCAGAGGGAGAACAGCGCTGTGGGATTAGTCCTGGGAGAGGCTGCACACTGCAGGGCCTGGGAAGATGAAAGAGTTCCTAAGGAACAGTTGGGAGCGGTCTGAGCCAGAGAGAATAAGAAGGGGGGTCCTGGGAGGAGGGGACATGGGGACAGGAAGGCGGCCCTGCATGTGCTTCACTTACTTGGTTTCGTGGGCATGTCGGGCCTCTGTAGAATGGGAGAGTTTTGTGTGAGTGTTAGTGGTTGTGTGCTGTAGCTTCTGAAGGCATTGCATAACTAAGAAATTTGGGTCTTTTAATCTATACATCTCTGGGGATTTTATGATTTTTTATTATTAGAATGGGCAGGAAAATTAGTATTTTATTTTTGCAGGGTTTGTAGTTCTGTGTCTTGGGCTTAGGTTGTGTTTTAGGGCAAGAGTTGCCCAATGAAAATTGCTCCCTCTTTCCCCGCCCCCTCCACTCTGTCCTTCCAGCCAGCCTGGCTGGGGCCTGGCTGGGCAGTAGGTGGGGGAGGCCAGAGGGCAGTTTAGGCTCTCTGTGCCCGCCCATCAGCTGGCAGCTCAGGCTGAGGCCTCAGTTCACTAAGGCTGAGCAGATAAATTACTAGCGATGTCACGGACAGGCTGGGCTCACGGTGCCACCTGCCAGGCTACCCTCGGCCCTCTGTCCTTATATACTTCCTGGTGAGTGCTCCAAGCGTCTATGCCACGAACCCCTTGCCCCTAAGGCTCCAACCTGGGGACTGAGGGAAGAAGGTGCATTTCTTTTTCCTGCTCCTGGGGTTTTGAGCTGGGTGCAGGCAAGAGGTGGGTGAACGGTAAAATCCCTGGAGGCGCCACCCGGTATCCCAGAGACTGTGGCTTGTGGCGTGGTTCTGAAGATAACAGCACCCCTTCATGCCCAGCCTTGTGAGAGGAGTTACTGGGCAGTGCTTCATTACCGGGGTCATTGGGGAGGTGGAGGGTTGTCTATTGGTGAGGTGTCAACTAACAGGCACATGACAGATTTTTGTCCTCTTTCTACTGCAGGTACCACCTCATTCTGTTTTGGGTGGGGCAGGGTGGGGGACTTTGTTTTCTCATCTCTGAAATATCTTAAAATGTTGAGGTTGGAGGTGACTACAGAGTACCTCCGGTGGTAGTGGTGGTTGTGGAGGGAAGCAGAAAGGAAAACTAGAGGCAAGGGCCAGAAGCCCAGGGATCTAGCCTGGCTCTGCTGCTCATGATTTGGGTGATTTCTTGCCTTCTCTGGTCCTTACATCTTCCTCATCTGTAAAAACTGGCACAAATCAGTGGTTCTTAACCTTTTTAGGACTGTAGGTCTTTTTTACTTTTTTTGTGTGAGTGAAAGTTCTGGATTTGTACCCAAGAAAAATGTATAGATAAACACAATGTTGCATTCAATTCCAGAGTATTCTGATTCCCTAGAAGTAGGTGGTTTACAAGTTTAGAATCAGTGGGTGGCTTGAGGCCCCTTCTGCCAAACACAGACTATAAAGTCAGCCATAACCTCTGAAAGGCAATGTAAATACTGTAAGACAAAAAAAGGGATAAGGTAGAATGGAATGGGAAATAACCGAAGGGATACATAAAATACTTTAAAAGAGTATAAAATTAGAAAAGTTATATTGTAAAAGACATATGTATAAAAGTATTATAAAAACTTTTCTTTAAAAATCAGAGTAAATCTTTTCCCATTATAATTTTTTATCAAAGAATATCATGATGTAGTTTCTGTCCATTTTGCATTCATATAATGTCACTTTCTAATATGTCGGAGTCCACTTGTGGTTCCAAATCGACCTTTCATGTCTCTGACACTTTTTTGATATAGTCCCCAAACATTTCTCAAGCCTGTACTCCCTGTCAGGGGTTGTAAAGTGCTGGGAATACAGAAACAAACAAGGCTGAAGAGCTCATGTGCGATAGGGGAGACACATGTGAAGTGGCACAACAGAAGGGTGTTCAGCAGCAATCCTGGCCTCTACCCACTAGATGCCAATAGCATCTCTTCCTCAGTCATGACAATCAAAATTGTCTCCAGATGTTGCCAGATGTCTCCTGGGGGGCAAAATTGCCCCAAGTTGAGAACCATTGGATTAAGTGAAGCTGAAATGACCCCACTATGTCAATCCCTGGTCATGCTCACTGTAGTTGAAAGAGCCCAGAATGGGAGGCAGGAGTCTTGGTTCTGTCACAGAGCTTCTGTACCGTCCACCTCAGTTCTCTTATCTGTTAAATTAAAGGTTATCTTAGATAATACCTGACAGCCCATTCACCTCTTAGTGTTTTGACTAGGAGTTCATATAAGAGCATCAATACATTCTAGGTGAGTTTCTATTTAATCCTCTTAGCTGTGTGTGCCACCCATAACCTGCTAGCTGAAATGCCCCAGATCTTTCCTAGGAATGGCTTTTTTGGTTGGGGAATAGGCCATTGCTCCTTTTGTTTAGAGTCTGTGCTGGAAGCCCCCTTAAGGGCATCATGTAGTTGACACCTGATGGGGTTACAATATTCTCTGCTTAACAGCACTGCTAACAGTGGGTGACCTAAAGGCCCTACCTACTTCACAAGGCTGTTTAGTCATAATAACAACATCTTGCTGGTATATTAATTCACTAGTCTACAAGTATTTATTAAGAACCTGCTGTGTGCCATGAACTGTGTTGGGAATACAGTGATGAGTGAAGCAAAGTCTGTTTCTTTATTGAATTAGAGATTACAAATTTTATCTCCTATCTTGTTTGGACCCTTGGCAGCTCTGAGGTAGGCAGCGCAATCTCCATTTTCTAGATAACATTTAAAGAAGGGAGAGAAGCAACTTGTTAAAGGCCGCAGGCAGTTAGCAATACTGGAACCAGGATTTACCTCCTGCTCTCTAGTGCTTTTATTTTTTCTGTAGTCCAATTGAGTTGTGATTACACACAAACACATCACTAAAAGCTTCATTGAAAAGCTTGGTTCTTTTTTACTTGCATAGTTACTGGTTTAGTTCAGAGGACTAGTCCTTTGAATTGGAGGTGTTGGTGGAGGTAGTGGGAGGGAATGAGAAACCTAACTCAGACAGGCCTCGAGTCAAACTGAAGCTAAAGACATAAAAACGCTGCTCAGCCCCTGCCAAGAAGTAGGAGCCAGGACCCAGCTGATGACGAAACGGAGTGGGAAGACAGAGGTCTGCTTGAGCAGAGCGCCGTCAGCGGCTGGGAGGCAGGAGAGGCAAGCCCTGTTCAGCCCTGGCTGAGTCACGGCGGGGAACTCTTTACAAGCCGCCTCGACCCCTGTTAGTGACTCCCTTGTCACCCCCAAGCAAAGAACCCTGGATGAAAGATGCTCTCAAGTTCTTTTTGTTTCCTCTTATTTTAAATGTTTATTATTTAAAACAGTATAGACAGTAACCGTAATGGGGTATGTGGGGGTGACTTGGTGATGGGGGGAGTCTAGTAAACATAATGTTCCTCATGTAATTGTAGATTAATGATACAAAAAAAAAAGTATGGAAAAGTATATCTCCAATGTCTTTTCCTCTCACACTGTCACTGCTGTCTCCTTAGCTCGGGATCTTACTGTCTTTTTCCTGGATCGCTGCAATGGCCTTTTAGGGGGACTGCATTCTGGTTACTCCCCATCCTCCCTCCTGTTACTCTACTCAGCCTGATCATGTTTTTAGTCTGCTACTTATAAACCTCCCCAAGTACCCTGTCACCTGAGTACACCCCCAAACTCCTTAGCATGACCTTTCTCTATAATTCTAGTCCATTTTCTCCTGATCTCATACCCACAGACCAAGACCCACGCAGACTGGATCTCTCATCTGTCCCTAAGTTTGTATTATATATCATTCGGTTGGAATACCTCCCTCTCCTCCTGTAATCCTGCTCACTGTTTCAGATCCAGCTTATCGTACCTTCCTTGGAAGCTGCCTCCTGCTCCCGCAGGGCCTGTGTCCTCTTGGTCCCACCAGTTCTCGGTTACAGTGGCCCAGGTCACATTGCTCTAGAATGAGACTAGCTTTTCCACTAGACTGCCCACAGCACCTGGCCCATATACAAATGAATGGAGGTGAAATGAACTCCCCAGGGCATCAGTAGTTGCAAGAGCTCATCTTTCACAATCATCTCCCCAGGACTGCAGCAGTCCAGTGGATGCTAGTAGGTGTTGCCTCCAGTAGCAGTTTTCTACTATAAGAATGGATTTCAGGTTATACAGACCTGAGTCCTAATCCTGGCTTCACCAATTAAAAGCTATGTGACTTTGAGCAAATTCCTAAGCCTCCTCTTGTTTATCATCTGCATAATGCCAAGGAAATATCTAGGTGTGGAAACTTTAAGAATTAAAGCTCAATACAGATCCCAGAAATTATTTTATGAATGGGAAATGAGAATGAAAAAATACTGCCCAGCAGTGGTTCCAATCTGCTTAAGCTGGCAGATAGTGAATTGGCTGTATCACTGCTGACCTGTGCTTTTCTTTTCCCACCATGTAGATCCTGACAGCTTCTTTCCTGACATACCCCTTGCTCAGGACCCTTAGCCTGCAGCTCCACTCAGCTGTCACCAGCAGCTATGTCTCCGGCACTTACTCCATCATTTTTGTCAACTGTCCCAACGAGCAAATTGCCAGAGACATTGCCAGGTATGGTGAAGGGGCTTAGGTGCATCCCAGGAGGTTCGGGGAGCTACCAGGCTATTCCAGGGGGGCCACTTGCTTCTGCTCACCTTGCCCAGCTATCTGCTTGGGCTAGATGATCCCCTGAAGGATCCTGCTGCTGGGCTGGAAATGTTAAATTGTGCTTGGGGGCATGTAAGGGATACAAACTCAGAGAGGTAGGTGGCTTTCCCCGTGCATTAAGGTAAGAGACCAGTGGAACCCTGTAGGTTGAGAATGTAAGTCACCCAATTCCTGGTCCAGCTCTCTTCCTTCTTGGAAATAATTCTCTTTGCTCAGTCCCAGAGGCACTATGACAAGTGAGGAGAAGGAGGCCATTCCGAATATTTGGCAAATTTCTAAAAGCAGGAGTAGTGTGCTGGCAAGAGCAGTGGACTTATATTCAGACCACTGTTTGAATCTTCGTGCTGCCACTTACTGTGTGACCTAGGGCAAGTTGCTTCCCTTCTGCAAGCGTTGGTTTTCTCAGTTATAAAGTAGGATAAGGCCTCCTACCTCCTACCTCACAGGACTGTTGTGAGGATTAAATGATATAAAATGCTTTCAATCCTTTCCGCAGTAACTCGTATATCTTAGATGCTCAGTAAATGTATGTTGTGTCTGAATTTCTCCCTTCATTCCTTCTTATATATGCAGCCTTGAAGAAGGTTAGCGGAACTGCAGGGCAATGGATTTGGCTCCTTGTTCCCCTCTTGCTCTAAACTCAGCATTCTTGATGCTGATGATAGACTATGTTACAATGTTTTAAAATGTGGAGTCTGGTCTTTGTGCGCCCAAGCCTCCAAATTGTTGACCGTCACAGGCTAAACTTGCATTTGATTCTATCTTTCCTTCCCCCAACCAGAATGTCTATTTTTCCCTCATTAACATTATCTTTGGAGAACAGTTCTTGACTAAAAGAATCTGTGATTACTCCAGAAATATGACCATAATATTTAGGAGCTAGGGATTAAAATCCCTTCTGATGTTTCCAGTATACCTGAGGTTTATGCCAAAGTGTCCAGACCCCACTCTGGATCTTGTCAGGGAACAACTTCATCTGACCTCTGTGAGGTTGGTATTGTGAAGAAATGTATTCTAACTAGTTGAAAGGCCAGTTCAGGTAAATGGATCACTTGTCAGCTTGGAGAGAGTTCTTTTTTAATCTTGCACCCAGGTTTGCTGATAAGTCAAGCATTTGTCGGGACCTCATTCCTTTGTAGGTAATGCTTTTCCTCTCTGGTAGTTTTTAGGATTTTCTCTTCATCTTAATGTTCAATATGTATTTGTTAAGTAGTCTCTCTATTCTTTCTATGTCCTGTTCCTGGAACTCCTCTTAGGTAGATGTTGAATTTGTTCTCTATGGCTGAACTTTCATATTTCTCTGTTCCTTTATTCTGCATACAGGGAGAATTTCTGAGCCCAGGCTTCTCTCTTATTTGTATTTTAGCTATGTCTATTTTGCTGTTTAGCCCTTCTGTTGAGTTTTTTAAATAATTATAATTTTTTTCATGGTTTCTGATTATTTTTTTAATGACCAAATGTCCTTATTTCATAATTGTCTGATCTTATTTTATGGATACAATAACTTTATCATTCTGTGGATATTAATGATATTTATTTTATTTTCAGTTTTCCAGTTTTATTGAGATATAATTGACATATAACATTGTATAAATTTAAGATGTACAATATATGTTTTAATATACATGTATGTTGTGAAATGATTACCACACTAAGGTTAGCTAACATATCCTTCACCTCATAGTTACTTTTGTGTGCACGTGTGTGTGTGTATGTTTATTTGCATGTATGTGGTGAGAACTTTTAAGATCTACTCTCTCAACAACTTCCAAGTATACATAATCATATTTATTTTAAAATATTGGTTTTGGATATTCTATTAACTCGTTCTCCTCTATGTAAATTCTTTTGTTTTTCTCTCTCCTGAAATTGACTTTCCTCAAATAATTTGTGATTCTTAATTGTAACCCCTCTTGTCCTTTTAGTTACACTGGTGGGAGGTGCAGAACAGCCGCAAGGCATTCTTATTACGTAGCACTGTTGCCAGTGGGCATATGGACTGGAGAAACCTTCTACTGGCTGGGGTACCCTAGTAACTGGTCTTCTGGGCATGAATTCTCTTTTGTAGTTGACTGTTGCCAGTCACTAGGACACTGCTTTGCCTTTTTGCCCAAACTTTTTGCCCACACTCACGGCTCCTGCTTGGGAACAAACACTCATCACTCTGCCTGGGCCAATGCGGGCTTTGGTGGGGGCGCAGGGGAAGGTTTGCCTGCTCCTGCAGTGGCATTCCAGCTGTTCACTGTGATGGCTGCGTCCAAGTTCCTGCCTGCTCTGGTTCCCGTTGCTCTCATCTTCTGTGGCATACCCCTGCGTGCTCTCATGCAGGTCTCGGGGTGTCTTTCATTCTTCAGGGCTTCCTTACTGTTGCTGGTACATGACGCGTTTTCTTTCCTGTGTTCCGCATGCCAAGTCGTAGGTATTTTCTGTTTTCTAAGGCTTGATGTAAAAGGGGGGGTTGCAGCATGTGTTTAGTCTATGGAGTTGAACTGCAAGTCTGAAGGGGAGCCTTTAGTGATGTGGCGTGGAGCTCACCTCAGCCTCCTCTGTTTAGTATTTTTTATTAATGATTTGGGTAGAAAAGAGGCAAGCTGGTTTAGTTCTCAGGATTTGTAGAAGGGGAGCAGATGGGCACATGGTGGGATGGCTCCACAAATGTTAGCAGTCGGGACCCCCAGCATTAGCTGCAGAAGCAGCACGGAGACCAGGTCTTCCAGCTCCAGTTTGGTCTTCTTTCTTCTTCAGTGTTCTTTATAGGGTGTAGTCTGGTGCCTCTCAGTTCTGGTCAGTTCAGTTCTGGTTCCCGGCGATGTTAGATCTCTTCAATAACAGACACTTTCGTAACTAGAAAAATCTCTTGCTGGGGCCAGGGTGAAAATCCTGACTGTTGTGTCCTATCTGGTCCCAACTCCACATGTGGCCTTAGACAAGTCTTCTCTGGGCATTGATCTCATACATACAGAGAGGGAACTGGATTAGGCCCTGTCACAAACACAAATATCTGCAAGGCAGGTTTAGACCCAGACCACCACAGTAAAGCTGATATCGCGATAAAGCAAGTCAAATGAATTTTTTGGCTTCCCGGTGCATATGAAAGCTATGTTTATACTATAATGTCATTTATGAAGTGTGCAGTAGCATTATGTCTAAAAAACAATGTACATACTTTAAAAACACTTTACCGCTAAAAACTGCTAACCATCATCTGAGCTTTCAGCATTCACCTTTCCACTGGTGGAGGGTCTTGCCTTGATATTGATGGCTGCTGACTGCTCAGGTGAAGGTCGCAGTGGCTGTGGCAATTTCCTGAAATAACACAGCAGTGCTGTTTACTGTGTCGATTGACTCATCTTTCACAAGTGATTTCTCTGTAGCATGTGCTGCTGTTTGACAGCATTTTACCCACAGAACTTCTTTTGAAATTGAAAAAAGTTCTCTCCAACCCTGCCACTACTCTTTATCAACTAAGTTCACATAATATTCTAAATCCTTTGCTGTCATTTCAATGATCTTCACAGTATCTCCACCAGGGGCAGATTCTATCTTAAGAAACCATGTTCTTTGCTCATCCATAGAAGCAACCCCTCACGTATTCAAGTTGTATCATGAGATTGTAGCATTTCAGTCACAGCTTCAGCCTCCACTTTTTTTTCCCTAGAACTTCTGTTACTTTTTTAAAATTAAAGTATCATTGATGTACAGTTTTACGAAGGTTTCACATGAGCAACATTATGGTTTCAACATTCACCCATATTATCAAGTCCCCACCATACCCCGTTGCAGTCACTGTCCATCAGCGTAGTAAGATACCACAGTCACTACTTGTCTTCTCTGTGCTATACTGCCTTCCCCGTGATCCACACACATACCATGTGTACCAATCATAATACCCCCCAAATCCCTTTCCCCCTCCCTCCTCACCTGCCCTCTCCCACCCCTACCGTTTGGTAACTGCTAGTCCCTTCTTGCAGTCTTTGAGTCTGCTTTTGTTTTGTTCCTTCAGTTTTGCTGTGTTTTTATATTCCACAAATGAGGGAAATCATTTGGTACTTGTCTTTCTCCGCCTGGCTTATTTCACTGAGCATAATACCCTCTAGCTCCATCCATGTTGTTGCAAATGGTAGGATTTGTTTTCTTCTTATGGCTGAATAATATTCCATTGTGTATATGTACCACATCTTCTTTATCCCGTCTTCTACTGGTAGACACTAGGTTGCTTCTATATCTTGGCTGTTATAAATAAGTGCTTCAATAAACATAGGGATGCATATGTCTTTTTGAATCAGGGATCTTGTTTTCTTTGGGTAAATTCCTAGGAGTAGAATTTCTTTGGGTAAATTCCGAGGAGTAGAATTCCTGGGTCAAATGGTATTTCTGTTTTTAGTTTTTTGAGGAACCTGCATATTGCTTTCCACAATGGTTGAACTAATTTACACTCCCACCAACAGTGTAGGAGGGTTCCCCTTTCTCCACATCCTTGCCAGCATTTGTTGTTCCTTGTCTTTTCGATGTTGGCCATCCTAACTGGTGTGAGATGATATCTCATTATGACTGTAATTTTTCAGCCTCCACTTTTTACTCTAGTTCTCTTGCTATTTCCCCTGCATCTGCAGTGACTTCCTCCACTGAAATCTTGTACCTTCAGTTTGTAAAAAACATGCAGTATCTGTGAAGTACAGTAAAGCAAAGCATAATGAAATGAGGTATGCTTGTACAGGCAAGGTGACCTAATTGAATAAAGTGGGTGGGATGTAATAGTGAAGGAACGTGGTGGATAGCAACCCTTATTCTTCCTGGGGGCTGGGAGGAAAGAGAGTAGTGGGAACTGTGCTGGCCTGAGAAGCATACGTCATGCCTAGAGGGAGTAGCCGCTGCTCAGCTTTAGCTAAATGTGACCCTGTAGGACTGTGGGTCCAATGTTATAAGCCTCATTTTTGGGTGAGAAGCTACATAATCTGTATTTTTTGAGTGTGAAATATCCTGATAGTAAATATTGGTAACAAAGTCAAGATTTTTAAATGCCGTGAGAGCCAAACTATGTATGTGGTCTGTGCAGCACTGGTCTAAGCTCTGCAGTTTCTAGAGGCTCTAGCAGCTCTGTACTTCTGTCTGCTGCTTTCCTCAGATCTGAGTGTGAGAATCTGAGCTCCCACCTGTGACTCACTGCTGGTGTTGGCTATGTGTGTATTTTATCAATCAGCTCATGTGCTCTCTCTTGTTCTTGTCTCTTTTGGGGGGACATGCAGAGTGGTGCTAGGGGCTCTGTGAATAATACAGTCTTCCATAGCTCTGTGTCTTTTACCCATGGATAGGCTGCTGTGATCAGTCTCTGAGGAGTTCACACTCTCCCAAAGAGATTGGAAAGGGCCTGTGAGGCAATGGGATTATGTCTTCCAGAGGTTTAACTCACTACCTTGTTTCCATGCCATTTTCAGAAGCAATAAAATGTAATTTTTCAGATTATTGAGTGAGTACGACTTGCAGGCATTGCTTAAATAAATTTGTGCCACGTGCCTCTCCTCACAGACAGGGATTTAAGGCTCTGGGGTCAGGGAATGAGGGCCGTGGCGATGCCACATCGATGTGGAGCCTGGAGTAGAGCACTGTTCAGCCTTTAACTCACGGGAAGAGAAAGTAGGTCAGTTCTCTGGGCGGCAGTTGAGGGAAGGAGGGATCAGTGAGCAGGCTCAGATGAGGTTTGTTTGAGCACTTCAGAGTAAAGCCCAGGTCCCTCTGGCTGCCTGAGCTGTGAGAAAGATTTGTCAGGGCCTGCCTGATGCTGTAGGCTTGAGGTTTTAGTGCTTGGCAACACAACTTTGCATCAATGACTTGGTGGGGCTCCTGTTTCTGTGATGCATGTAGTAGTTCAAACACATGTACTGTGTTCGTCAGGGGTCTGCAGAGGAATCTGAGACTATCAGACCAGGAATTCTAACCTGAGATCTGTCCCTTAGAGGCATGCAAAGACTGTGGTAGAAACCTTTACAAAAATAAAAAGTGGGACTCTCTTGTCCCCTCCTGGCATGAGCCGGGAGCTCTGTCCTTTCACTTTATCTCTAAATAGAAGCCTGCACCTTGCTCTCCTAAAAATAAATAAATAAATGAAAATAAAAAGTGAAAAGAGCCTATATTTGCCAAAGACAAATGCAAGATGGGATGCTTATCTGCTTTTGCTTGGAATTGTATTTGTTCTACGTAGTCCCATGGGTATCTACAGATCAGAAGCACTGACAGCCCGATACATATCCGAGAGAGAAAAGCAGAATAAATGGAGTGGCATAATGAAAGGAGTTCTTGGTGGGAACCATTGGCAGAAGGAGTCCTTTCACTGTATAGCAGGAGAGTCAGGTTGAGTGAAGGGGATGTGCCTGTCTTGGATAGGTGCTCAAATACTTATTCCTGGAATGAAGAAAAGAACTTGCATAAGGTCACCCAGCCATCCTGCTGCAGGGTCAGGGATAGAATCCAGGTCTTCTTGTTCTTCATCCAGTGGTAATTAATTCCCATTCCGCAGGCAGACTGGGCCTGTCCTTAAAACTGCCTTCCCATAGCTGCTTCCCTACTTCTCTCCCTACCCAGTGAAGGACTTATAAACAGCTCTGTCTTCAGAGGTTCTGTGCCTGGGGTCATGGAATGTGTTGGTTTGAGGGGGCAGGGCTCTCTAAATGTTTATCTTAGACTCAGGTTTCCTAAGAACTCCTGTCCCTTCTCTTAAAATCCTGGACTCTTGCCCCAGTGACTATCACTCTCTCTCTTTGCTTTAGGACAATACTGGATAAGAAGCTGGCTGCCTTGGGGAACATTCTGCCCAAGGCATCCTCACTGTGAGTTTGCTACGGCCAGTGGAGGGGGGTGGCAGTGCGAGGTCAGGTGCTGGCTGGTGGAAAAAGTACTGAACTAGGGGGAATTGTCAAAGAACAACTCAAAGCATCTAAGTATTAATTCACTGGGGATTTGTATTTAGAGGAAATCAACCAGCGGGTTTATGTCATCCAACAAAAGCAAGAATAGGCTGTGTGTAGAGAAAGGAGGTAAAAAGACTACAGTTTGGGAACAGTGAATCTTGTATGCACATTCTTTGTTTAAATCAATTACTTTGCTGTTAGCAAAGAAGTCAGACTGGGCATTCCATCCCTAAGTAAGCCACCTAGGGATATCAAAGAAAATAATTTCCATTGCTTTTGGACTCTGGAAAACTGAGAGTTCAGCATATATGACAGGCTGATTTTGTGTATTGCCTGCCTTTCATTTCATTAACACCTTCTCTTTAGTTACCTTGGTCTGTGCCATTTCCTTCATCAAAGTATTTCAGCATCCCAGTACTAGCTGTGCAGGATCTTACTTGTGCCTTAATTTCTCTGATCAGCTTTTCATGTCCTTCCTCCCCTGGGGAAAAGAGATAGATAATATCTAAAGGTAAAAACAGAGAAGTGCTGTATGATGAAGGCTCCCCACCCCAATGGTGTCACTCCCTCAGTGGCTCACCTCATTTAGCCATGGCTCCAAATGGGGCTGTTCCTTATGTTCCTAAGCTCCACCCTAGATCTACGCAGTCTTCCTGAAACTGGGACTTGGGTCACTGAATTCTTTAAAAGTTGTATAGGTAATTCACATAAAGCTGGTCTGGAAACCAATGCTTGGGAGCTAGCAGAGAATTTCAGCCTAGCATTCCCTTCTTATTTCCTTCCTTATAATTGATCCTCTTACCACGCCCTCTAAGTTAGGGCCAGTGGCCCAGGTCATCGTAGAAAATTTCTTTACTTTCCCATGAGGTGCTGCTCTCATACTCCTTCCTGGACATCATCACTGAGTTTGGTTTTAACTGTGGACCTGTTTGCATATCTTACAAGGCTCACTTCCTGAAGCCTCCTGTGCTTTTTTATTTGTCCATTTGTGGTCACTCAGCTTTGAGAGTCAGTGGCAAAAGTAGCACCAGTCCCAAAGGATAGGGAGGTGCCTGTATGCCATGAGTATAGGATGAGCATCGAAAGAGCTGGAGATGCTCACTTTGGAGTAGAGAAAACAGCTGTTTCTGCAGGGCTGTCCTGAGGTGGTTCTTCATGTGGAAGCTGGGGAAACAACCGGCTAGCAGGTGTTAGCACACCATAAGAAAAACCCTCTCATGTGAAAACCTTTAAGGTAGATGGACTTCATCAAGAGATGGTGAGCCTCTCACATCCAGATGTGTTCAGACAGATGCTAAAACCATACCTGTGGCGTATGGCCAACTGTAGATATTTTTATGTGGGCTTGGAAAGATTTTAAAGTTGCCACCTCAGTAAGTCACCTGATTGGGCCATGTTTGACATTTCATTGGGCTTGTCCTATGAGCATCATAATTTGGTTTTGTTCTCTTCTCCAGGTACTTTTGGAATGGAGAAATAGAAGAAGCCACTGAGATCTTGCTGGTGAGCGAGGACGGGGTATGGAACCGTTATAGGAGACAACTGAGACTAAGGCTTTTTCCCAGGTTCCAATTACAAAGTAACAGCAATCAACTGGTTGAGATTCTTGCCCTACAGAAGATGCCCTCAGTTCATTTGTGAGCTAGTGGCAGGGCCTGGTGATCTGGAGGAATGTTATTTCCTAAATGGCTAGGTGAACAAAAGCTGCAGAGCTGGGGCTGAGGTCCTGAAGCAGCCATCACCATCATCAT